GCATCACTAAGGTAAATAAAAAAATACGATCAAAACCCCAGCAAAAGCCCCAAAACAAACAGGCCAGACACAAGGTTTGTTTCCACTACTGTCTCAGTGTACTTTATTCTCCTGCTGTCTACAGCTGAACAGCCACACAGGACAGAAACAGGTAGCACTGAGGAATGATCAGATTTCTTCCCTCCACGCCCCCTCCCCAACTTCAGGAATGGCTCTTTTTTTTTTTTTTTTTTAATATATATATAATTTTTTTTTCTCTTTTTTAGGAAATCCCAACCCCACCTCGAGAAACAAAATAAAAAGAAAAGGCATTACTAGAAACGCGACCCAGGGCTCTCCCTCGGCCGTGCTCCGGAGCTGGATGGCTCCCCCAGTTCACAGAGCTCCTCCTCTCCTCTCAACACCTGGGATTTTCTTATTTCACTTTATTTTATTTTATTTCGTACACTGGTTCAAAGTCGGCACTTCGACTGCAATCTGAACCCAGCACTGAAAGGCACATATCTGATACCCTGTACAAGAGCTATTGTGGATGCTGCAGTGCGGATGGGCAACGAAAGCGGCCTCCATCGCAACGGAGCCGAGGATCAGAGCGGGAAGAGGAAATCGGGGGGAAAATAAAGCAGGATCCTTTTGCCTGCTTTTCAGAACAAACAAAAAAACCAACAAAAAGAAGAAAAATAAAATACTGGCTAAGGTTTTCTACTCTCCCTCCCACAAGCAGCTTTGAAAAATGCCCATGTTCAACTGCAGATTCAAATGCTGGTACTATCAACAGCTGCATCAGTCACAACGAAATGAAAAAGAAGTCGCAAAACCCTGCGCCTCCTCCGTTCTCTGTTGGTTTGTCTTGGCTTATTGCTGACAATTTCGGCTAAGGGACTATTCGTCAAAAGTCTCATTTGAGGAGGAAACGGGAGATTCTGATCCTGCACGTGAAAAGAGGACGTGGCGCGCCGGGGAGCAGTAACCGGGCGTTTGACTGCGGAGCTGCCCATCAGCCTGTGACTACTCTATCGGGGGAAAAAAAAACACATCGTGAATGGGTTCCCCTTTGACTGGAAAGACCAAGAATACAAAAAGGAAGTATTGGGGAATGTTTGACACCATTTTATTAATCTTCAACTGCAGTGGAAAAATATAACCTTTTACAAGTGCCGTCTTGTGTAAGCTCAAGTCAGTATATATATATTTTATATAAATTTCTTTTTTCCTTTTTTTTCGTTTTTGAAGTGCAGCAAGAGACCAATACCACATTAAATTTGATCAAATAAAGAGCACAAAAGGCCGAGCAGTTTCCAAATGGCATTTTATCAGATTTTTTTTTGTCTGGTTTTTTTCCTGTTTGAACATTGAATTTTCTCCTCATTTTGCAATCCAAAATATTACCTGAAGTTTTATTTTGTTTTTCAACTCTTTGGCACAATTTTTGTGGGTGTTCGGGCTGCTACAGTACAAGTCAGGAGAGATCTTTCCCTTTGCGTTCTCACTGCCAATTCGGAGCACTTAACGTCTGTAGTTTTGTTTCGCTGTTTGTTTGTTTTTTTTAAGCCTGAAATCTCGCTTGACAATAGGTTTCTATTCCCTCTAACGCAAGAGTTTAGGTTTTTTTTCCCCCATTTCTACATTCACAGTTGAACAATATTAAGGAAGGAAAGGCGCTTTGATGAAACGAGATCATGAAAAGCGTCACTCAGAACGGGAGCTCTGAACATTCGTCAGTGTTTCCCTAGAATAAAAAGCCCTAAAGAGCGACTTTCCTTTTATCTTTTTTTTTTTCTATTTTTTTTTCTTATTTTTTTCCCCTCATTTCATTTTTTTTTACATCTCTTACGCTGCATCAGTAGCCTGAACTTCGGTTAGTTTATGAAATGCAACAGCTAACCCTTTTTTTTTTTCCCATTTTTTAAATTTTTTTTTTTTTTTTTCCTTTTTTTTTTTTTTTTTTTTTTTTTTACGTGTGTATCGGGAAAAGATAAAACTGCAATGACTTTGAAGTTGAGAATGTGGATACCGCCTCATTCACACACACTCACTCCTCGACTGAAAATCCTTCACCCCCCTCCTCTCATCCCGCGCACCGACAGCGTCGTGCGGCAAAGGTGGCGGCCGGAGCCCCGGGCTCCATCTCCCTCCAGCGGCCAAAGCCAAACCTCCAAGAGCGCCGCAGCTGAACCCCGGTTCCTCTCCTCCAAACCGGCCGCTCTCCTCCTGCGCCGGCCACGACAGAGAAGTCAGTCCTGGTGTGTCGGAAGAAGAGACTCACTCGTTGCTCGGACAGAAATCGGTCGCTCCCTCGTCCCGAAAACGCCGGGTTTTTCTACGCAAGTCAGTGCTCGGCTGGCAAACAGCGCTGCTGCTGTTGCTGTGGCGGGATTTTCAATGTGGTGTGTTTCAAGCCTCACTCACTCATCCTCTCATTCCCAAACATTCAGCATCCGTGCACACTCCTCACTTCCGGGTTTTTTTCAAAAGATTGGAGATTTCCAGTGGGGGTCTCAGGTGTCATCCCAATGGTAACAGATCTGCAAGCACAAAGGGCGCGTCAAAAGATAACCCCAAAACCCCCACATTCAGGAGATAAAACCAGCAGTGAGTGGGGCAAAAAATGACTAAAAGATTTAATAGGGATTTTAAGGAGCTTCTCCAGTTGTAGCAGATTTACCCTCCCAAGCACAGCTATGCCATCGGTTCCCTCTCTACAATCTGCTGCTTTTAAAAGGTGGCTCAGCAGTCACAGACTCTGAGCATCCCAAGCTGGAAGGGACCCATAATGATGAGAGCCCAGCTCCCAGCGCCACACAGGACCACCTAAAACTAAACCACAACCAAGAGCATCGTCCAGACGCTCCCTGAACTCTGAGCAGGACTGAGGAGTCAATGGGCTTCAATGACACCGCATTTGCAGGGGCGCGGGACCGTCCCTGAGCAGCGAGGGCGATGGATTTCAAAGCAAGGAGCCCTCCAGCCTGTGCCTGGTTTCGGGAAAGCCAAACAGTTCATCACTGCGCTTCGGGGTTTGTAATTGTCCTGATACACAAGACCACAGATGGGGCTTGTTTACAAAAAACTAAATGAGAAACAACTGTTAGAGAACAAGGCTTTGCGAGGCAGCTCTGTCAGATCAGGAGTTTAGCCAACTCCACAACTCCACAACATGAAAAGGAGGTGGGTGTCATCCCTTACCAAGCTTGATTCTTCAGTTTTCTCAGTTCTTTAGTCGCCCAGGTAGCAAGGGTTTTTGTTTTGTTCGTCTTGGATCTTCTTCCTTCAGATAGCAGTTCATGTATCATGGGTCTAGCTTCTACTAATTTCAGTACATCTTTTCCAAAGGCTGTACACAAATCTCTGAAGGAGAAAGCGAGGTTTGGAGGCTGAGTGCCACAAACAGATGTGCCACTACCACTCCGATCAGCTCTTGCTAGCAAAGAGAATTCTGACTCACAGCTAATGTCCTTTTTAAAAAGCTGCATATGGTCACTAATTTCTGCAGGAGGAGAGCTGAATGGTTTTCTGAAATTGGGACTAACTGGAGACGTTCAATCTCCTGTCCAAGGACTGATCTCCCTGATGTGCCATGCAAGTGTCCATAAATGCAAGAGAAAAGACTAAAACACCCTGACCCAAGTCTGTCTGTACCCAAGGAACTGAGGGTGGGCTTTATTTTTTGTTTTTAAGCAGGTCATCCTTGAAAAATCTGGCATTTCTGTAACACACATCCAGCTTTCACCCCTACTGACTGGTTTTCACCCCGTTAAAGGGCCTCACCTGCAGAACAACTTCACACCTTGGGTTAAACATCAACACCAGACCGTAAAAACCCAGCACTGATGTTAAATACTTCAGACAGAAAAACACAGCTTCAAATATTAATGCTGTTGTACAGAGATTTCTGTCTACCCGATGAGCGCGCTGTCGGCTGAAACCGTGTCGGGATGCTTACCCTATCAGTCCAGCAGCACACGCCACTACTCCATCGGTGTGATCCTCATCTCCAGCAATGTGGTCAATGTAAGACAGAATAAATTCTACTCTGGGCTGCACCAGCATCACATCCGCTGAAAGAAAACAGCTTTATTATAGCAGGGTGAGACACAGTTCATGTTTAACAGCCTGCCCTTTAAAAGGGATCCCAGCGAGCCTCCAAATGGCCAGAATTTGACCCTGGAAAAGCTCTTGGATAGGGAAGGGAAAAACTGTCAGAGGAAGAGGAATCCATAGCGAAGGGCTCTGAACCCATCCCCTGCTTGTGGCAGCAGAGCATTCACTCCTACACAGATGGGAACAAACAAGGACATGCCCATGGATGTGACAACAACCGTGAAAGAGCTCGTCCAAGCAGAATCCTTCTCATCAACCTTGGTCGTTTCAGGCACAGAAAGGCACAGCGGGACAGGGTACTCACGGTGCACGTTTTCTTGGTCTCCCTTCAGTCCCTGGACGATGCCAGTGTAAGCTTCCAGGCAGCCCTCCCGCAGCTCGTTCAGGTAATCCACCATGTCGTAGTCGGACTGGAAGGGTGACAGCAGAGCACACCTCAGCCGTGTCCCCAGCGACGTGCGCACAGCCCTTACCCATCTGTGATTTTAATGAAGGAACCAGAATGTGCACCCTTGGCTTACCTTATCAACCTGTGCTTGGGAAGCCTGCTGGAGGGTGTTCAGTACGACATCGAGGTACTTCTTAAATTCTCCTCCAATGGCAAGGGCAATGTCGCCAAACACCGAGAGGATCTGAGGCTTCACAGACCTATGAACGTTTTCATTCTGGAAGAGATTTCAGCATCGCTACGTTCAGTTGCATTTCTTTTTCAGGGGGGGAGGAGGAGCTAATAAATAAAAACATTTACTTGAAATGTAAATCCTTACCCCAAATAAATTTGGATTCCATTCAAACAGTAAGCAAGATAGTTGTCAAACACGAGATCTTCAGAGCATGCCTAACACTTCTGCTTCTCCCACCTCCCACTTTCTTCTCAGTGTGCAAGCCAACTGTTACTAACTGGCTAATGAGAAGGTAAACACTCACCCCCAAGTTCTCCAGGAGCAGCTGCATAACCTCGTCACAAAAAGGCAACATGTTGGATTGCAGGACTCTGCACAAGTCACCAACCAGGCCCACCGCAGCCAGACAAACCTGCAAATAGAACAGCGAGTGAGACACCCACCCAGTGAGTCAGGCTTCCACACTCTGTCCTTACAGCTTCAGCTTATCAAAGCACCAAGCAGTGGTGAGAGGCTGCAGCCATTAAGCCACCAAAAATAACGACCCTCGCAGAGCAGCTGATGAGTCCCCGCTTCGTTAACCATTTGTGTCATCAAGCTGCAAAGCACTGAGCTTGCTTCTCTGAGGGGAAGGGAAGAGATCCAGATGCCAGCAAAGTGACAGGTACTGGGGTCTGAACAAATGCTACCAAATTTAGCAGCCGGGAGGTCGAAACATCCACCCCACAGCGAGTACCACCACTGGGCCTTCTAATGGGAACTCACAGCCCATAGCAACCTCTTTCCTCATCAAAGACAGCTAATACAGAGCCACTGTGAAAACACAGGCGTCAAGTCAATGAAGGCCTTCTGCTGAATTCAACAGAAGAGTCTAAATTTGAGCATGCAGCCAGTAATTAGAGCAAAGTCCACAGGGCTGCAGTTCTGGTTTCAGCACCAGAAGCCATGGTGATTTACAGATGCACACCTGCTGAACTCAGCATCTGCGAGCAGCTGAGAATTTAGAGACTGCGAGCACAGGGCTGCCCGGTTTGACCTCTACCTGGTACTCAGCATAGTTCTTCAGTCCAATGCCAAGGAACGGTTTGAAGGCATCCATGTACTTCAGAAACTCTCCACCTAAGACTGTGCGGAGAAAACACTGTAGTTAGGAAAAAATCCCAACTTAAGATGTATTTGCTGGAGCTCGACAAGAGAGAAACCCATCGTTATATTCCACCCAAAACCAGTACCTGGGTTCCACACAAGCACAACAAATCAATTCTCCACTAGACATCACCCAAAACTGAGCATCAGTGAAATGTGTCCGTCTGGGCTAAGCCGAGATTTGACAGAGCTCAATTCCCTGCAGGAATTGCTCTCTGCAGACAGACAACCCCTTCCCATGCTCAGAAAGGACGTTGGATCTTCCCGAGCAGACCCATCTGAGGGAGAGGGATGTGGCTGCACGCTTCACACAGGAGCCGGCACTCAGGGAGCGGGAGCACCATCGCATCGCTTTGCATCAGCTGAAATCTCTGATGCCATTTCACATTGCTTTACTGCTGTAACAGCTTTGGGAAACAGTTGCTCAACCTCTTCTCTTCAGAAAGCAGGGCACTCTTCAGTATGTTTATATTTAAGCAGTATTTGAAGTAAAATAGTTCTGTTCTTCTCCACCAACTCCTACCTTCCTCAAGCCCCTTGCATTACTAAGACCGTGCATGCAGACTGATCTACCCAAAAGTCAAAAGGCCTTTGTCCCAGGAGGATTCAAACTTCCCTTTTACTTGGCAATGATCCCCTCATCCTTCTCGTTCACTTCCCAGCTTCCTCAGGCAATCCCATTAAACATTCCCAAGAGCAGAGGGGTACCAGCCAAAGAGCTGCCCTTTAAAACATGCAAGTGTGGGAAGGGGAGACTCAAACGAGCCTCTCTACAAACCGATCTCCCTGAAGACCCACTTGCAAAGCACACTTGGCTTTTATTAGAGATAACGCAGGGGTGTCAAGCAGTAAGGTTAAATGCAGACTTTGAACAGCACCTCAGCTCTCACACTCATCACAGCAGAGTGCTCCTAGAGCTCCAAATGATGCCACCACCTTCTAAACCTGAACCACAAACCTCAAACTGCCTGGAAAGCAACAACCCAAATTTGACTTGACTTCACCCATTCTGACCTGCTCTAACGCTGATCTTTGCCACTGTGATTTCTTTGAAACAAGAGCAATGACTGTAAACCCACCACTGACAAAACTCCACAGAACAACCAGGGGTCACAGGCAGCAGCAAGTATGAATCATTAAGATAATGTTACACGGTAAATCTATCCCATGGCACAAAGAGACCAGGTTCCCATCGTGCTGGGCACTGTACAAAGTAGCATTAGGTTTGTTTTTTTCTGGCAGAATTTGCATTGTAGCTATGTTATTAACAGAAAACAAACCATTCATTCACGAAAAACAGCTTAGCATAACCGGCCAGTCTCAGAGCTTCAAAAAGATGGCGAGATGTATGTGTGGCGAAAACCACACCCCAAGCAAAACCAGGAACCTAATAATGGGTTTTTTTGCCATATAGTCAAAAAGAGAAGGAAGCAAAGCAGCTCTGTCCCAGGCTCTGCCTCCCCCAAAACACACCCCCTGCTCTGTGGTGCAAGACTGACCTTCCACCAGGGTGCTGACGGCCATCAAGGCATCCTCCTGCACGCCCCCTGAGCCCGCCGTGCTCTGGAACATCCGCAGCAGAGACGCCATCACCACGTCCGAGATCTGCAGAGCATCCTGGTGCTGCACCTTCCGCAGGACGTTCTGGGTGGGAAGGGAGAAAGCAAGAGTCATTCAGCCTCGCACAGATGGAAGCAACCGCGCCTTTACATCTCCTGCGCCAGCTCCCAGCGCTCGTGACCGCGTTGGGCTGCTGAAAAAGGAAGCTGCTGCTTGAACTCTGCTGCTGCAAAAATATGCTTTGTCAGTGCGAGTGCAAAGTCCCATTCATTTCAGCTGCGTTCAATTTTCCAGCTACAGAACAAGCTGAATTTACCTTTCCTGCTGCATAGGCTGTTCTCCGCGCCTTTCATTTGTGAGTTGGCGTGAAATGTGACCAGTCCAAATTTGGCCTTATTAAAAAAAAAGCCTTTTTCCATCACAGCAATGTGACAGCAAAGTCTCACTGCCAAGTACGGGCTGCACGTAAGCTTTGCTTCTAAACCACAGCATTACACTTCAGAAACACGACAGGAGAGTGTCACTGCTGCTAACTGCAGTCAAACTTCTCCTACCAGGATGAACAGAGAATAAATTAACATACAACCAATGCAAAACAGGTTTACAGGAACACTGAGGTGTCTGAAAAGCAGAAGGGGTTTCTGGAGAGAGCGGAGGCAGCCTCGCACAGCAGCAGAGCAGTGCTCCGTGTTATCCAGCACATTACAGGAGCAGCAGGGACAAGGAAACACCCCAGGTAAATACCCGAGCTTAACCTGCTCCTCCTGTACCGTTCTGACCCTCCCTTTCAGCACGTGAAATACAGAACACAGCTCTGAGGTATCCTTAGTTAAAATAAATTTGCATTTCCTATGAAAAGAGAAAGACCGAATCTTTAACCTGCAGAGGAAAATCATTATTTCACGTCTGATTCTTTCAAACTGAGTCAACTCCAAAGAGACCAACTTTGACTCTTTAATTAATCGGTCTTGATTTTCTCGTTACTTTTAAATCTTAACAAATGTCTTTCCTCTGTTGGGTGTTCATAATTGTATTTCCATCAGAAGAGAAAAACGACGTAACAACACTGAAAAAATTCTCCCTCCTGATTTTCACTTAGTGGTATTTAATTATCTGCTGCAACTACTGTAAATACTTAAGGTTCAGGTTGTGTGATAATGAAGAAAGGCACAATTACAAAGTAAAACTAGCAGCTTAATTCAACCTGTGCCACCTGTACTGCTCTTCCCACAGGCAAACGGAGCTGTCCTGAAGGAGATCAGAGATCACCGCCAAAAGGAGAGGTTCGTCTCCCCATTAGAGCCCACATAAGGACAGAACAAACTGCAGAGCACAGGTAACGCCACCCAGCAGAGGAATAAATCCCCTGCCCTGCTTTTATTTCAGATTACACGCTGCTCTGTTACACCTCCTTTCTTCTCCGAGCTGCACAGAGATGCGCTGATACTGAATTGATGCCAATTATAGAGACTCAAAGCAGCACCTTGTAACTGTTCGTGGTTAGGTGTGACAGCACTGTACCACCCTTCCTGCAAACAGGAGATCTTCGATATCAAGCACCACTATTTCAGAGGATGGTCTGAGCAACCTCAGGAGCGGTTTCGGGAGGAGGCTGTTTTCCATGGACTTTGTAGGAGTAAGCAAGGAGCTGAAACGCGCTGGTACTCCAAGTCACATGGGCTGTTCATTACCAGATGTTTAATTTTCAAGGACACTCAGTGCATTTTAATTAGTGCCATTTTAAAGAACACCACCAACCACAAGAGGCAGATGAACAAATTAAAGCCGTTATGGAGTTTTTTTGTCTGTGCCAACCCAAGTGATTGTTCAGGCTGTAGCCAACATAAGAGCCAATCTGAAGGCATACACAATCTCTAACAAGCCACATACAGCGTTAGTTATTCATATTGCCCTAAATTTGCTAAGCCGTACTCTACCGAAGCCTTCTGAACCTTGTATCACCTCCCACACGGCAGCTGGGACACAAGATCCACTTTCCTCATTCAGATCTTGTCAACAGGACTAAGTCTGCATCCTCTCAGGCACAGAAAAGTCTCCAAAACCGCCCCAAAACCACAACTCAGGCGACAGGAACTTACCTGTAGAGTAGCGCAAAGAAGAGACTGAAGATCATTGAACTGGATTCTGTCGGAAGTGCTCTGGATATGAGACTGGAAAAGAACAAAACCCCGTACGTGAGAAGTCTGCACTATAATCCACACAAACCCAGCAGATTTTGACAGCGCTACAAGTGCACAAATGCGATTTTAAATATTTGTTTCTTCAAATTTAAGACAAGACATTTGTTTGGAAGCTTAATATATCTACCTACCTATAAAAATAATAACAAAAATTCTTTATACCGTAAGGCACACAATCAGCAAAAACTCGTTTTTGTACCCCAGATGAAGCCACAGCACAACAGCAACACCTCACCTCTCCTTGAACCCCTCACCATGATGGGGGTTTAAAACTCAGGTTTACCTACCTCCATCTGCAGCACTTGCTGAAGTCGTTCCATGATGACCAGAGTTGTCTTTTGGACAGCAGGGTAACAGTCCTTGGCACTGTTTTTCACTATTTCCATCAGAGATTCATATGCAGAACTCCTCAAGTTATTCTGGTGTCCATCAGGCCTGTAACAGAAGGAATATATTTGCAGCTCCCAGTGCTCAGCTTGCTTAGAAACAGGCTTTTTTTTAGTAAATCAGTAACAAGCTAAATTTCAGTGTTGTGACAAGCAGAAGCACTTGCATTCCTGTATTGCAAGACTTGAAAGTAAATGAAATTTGTGAAGCCGCTTTTGGAACATTTTAAAATTCGCTATTAATAATGACTTCCAATATCTTCACCCACTGGCAGCAAATACAAATCCACATCTCGCAGCACGCTGTTACCCTGCCCAGGAAGCGACGGTCTCAAGAGGTGAGCAGCATACATTACCAGCTCCCTGACATCCCTCCGAGATGCTGGTGAGGGTGTTAAATTTGAAATAAGGACAGGTGAGATCTGTGCTAGGATGAGTGATGGGCTTCAGAGCCTTGAGCTAGACGCTACGCTTCTGGTAGGATGTAAATGAGACAGGAAGAGTTTAGACTTTGAACCGTTCAGACAGGGACAGCGCTTAAGAAGAAGGAGTCCTGCAGCAAAAGGCTTCAACTGATGACTGAACTGATCCAAGGATTGAACTCTGAGCTGTCAAGATTTATGCAACCTTCAAGGCAGGATAGGACTGCAGCGTTACCCTTATTTTTGCATCTGCAGAACTGAGAAAAATATTTGGCCTCATCTATTTCTATTTCGGCTTAGTTGGGAAAAGGACAGTACCCAGCCTAACTGGGGCCTCATCCCTTCTGGTGCTAATGGAAATGGATGTAACTCTACAGCAACAACCACGGCATCAACCAACCACAGTAAAACCAACTGTACGATACGCAGAGATTTCTAATTATCTCGTGCTGCAATCCTGATTATTCAGTGGCCTTGGAGTCAACCTTGAAGAGCCTTATGACTGTTGTACAAAGATGTGCAGAGTCTTAAACTTGGAGACTTCAAAGTAAAACATGGAAGGGGCACTCTTGGAGGAAACCCCGGAGTTACTATAAACAGATATGGGCAAAATACTGAGAAATTATTCTGTGTGAATAGCTTTCTTCCTGGGGATTAGCATTCTGTATTCCATGCGATACCAAAAAAGCCTGGTTCTGATAAAATATCATTCAGATCTAAGCTGCAAGAGAAAGAGGGCCAACAGCCTGAAGTAATATTTAAAAAAAAAAAAAAAGAAAATAAAGCATCTTTGCAGAGCTTAAGACATCCGCTTCAGTGTTACCTATCTGCAGTCTCCAGAAGTTTCTGAACTATTAGCTCAAATGAAGAGGATAAGCAGTAGGTTGCTGGTTCTTCCTGATCATCAGCTACATCTGCAGCTTCATAGGCAGCTTCAGCAAGACTAGAGAAGGCCTGAAACACAGAAGAACCATTGCCGTTACTCAAATGAGTTTACCCTCACAAGTCCAGAAACATCAATTCCAACGGTTTTCAATCTAACAAAACAACCCCCCGAAAAAAAAACCCAAATACGTGCGGGGTTAACAACATGAACAGCCAACTGTTGAGTGCACTGAACTTTGGTGCAACAGTGGTGACAATTTCAAAGACTTACAACGTGGCATTAACACGCAAGGCGGTCACGCTGTCTGCAGACAAACATCTGCACAGTGTTACTGGTCTCAACTGGTGGCTGTCAGGAATCAAACTGGGTGAGGGCAGACTGCTTGAACCTCGCAGGGTATTGACAGACTCTGTCAGCGATCCAGCATCCTCATCACAAGTTAAAATCCCAGGGCAGACAAGGCCGCGGACTGCTCAAATTCCCAACTGCAGAGCAATTGTGACTGCTCTGAGACAGGTGGGTTACAAGAGCTGAAAGCCTCTCTTGATTTTCATTTCAATCTAAGAACACACAGTAGTCATCATCTGCAGAAGACAAAAGCCACAGCTACATGGACTTTTGCCAGGACCAACAGATCGGGGAAAAGCTTCCGCGCTGACTTGAAGCCTTCAAACCTCTGGAATACTGAAAGAACAAATTCTGTCATTTCTGAGACTTGTTTTGACATGCAAATACTCATCTCTAGCTCAATTCTTTACGAGAAGCTCTCTCAAAAGGCAGTAAGGGACACATCCTCTTTCTAGTGAAATATCAGATACGTTACTCGGTAGTAGACATGCATCACATAGACGCACACATGTAGACATACACGTCTGCAAACCAACCCAAGGGACTGCAGCTCAGTAAGTGACCAAAAAAAATATCCTCAATTTAGTTGTGGAACCACTGCAGAAGCAGGCTTAGGTAATAGGAAACAAGGTAACTCGTCTCTCCTTTAAGATTAAGGAGGCAATCCAGCTGTTCCCAACAAAAAAAGCAAAATTCTGGCATGCCTTTTCTAAACAGCTATCACAGCTCTTATCAAGGACAGTTTCCACAGCATTTTCAAACCAAAGGCAGCTTCTACACTCAGTGAATATTTGCTTTTTTTTTCCTTAAAAATCAATTTCTTCCTTTACTATTTCCCACTAGAGCCACAAAACAGACCTGAGATAACTTAGGAGTTAACAAGAGTTGTGCGTGCTGGGTGACCAAGCCATGAGTCCCCTCTGAAATCCATTCAAGTGTGTGAATATATACACGTATGTGTGTATCTATGAATATGAGCTGCGTTCCCCTTGTTGATAGAAACGTGTCCTACGTTCAGCAGCGAAGGGGCTGCCTTACCCAGCAGACGTTGGAGGCCACTCGGGGCTCGGCGCTCAGGCCCTCCATCAGACACTGCAGCAGTGGGGCGAGGTAAATGTCATTGATGGCAGCTTCGGGAAGCATCTCGCAGATCCTGCCCACGGTCCAAGCAGTTGTGTCTCGAACCACGACGCTGGGGTCCTTCATTAGTTCTATTAAAGTTGGCATTGCCTAGAGCATCATTGCAGGCAGGAGAAAGATGTGATCAAACACAATCTATGGAAATAGGAGTCTGCCACTATTTCTGATGTTAACACTCTCTACGAGGTAGCGACAGATTGAAGAGGGGAGGACAGTCCAGATTCAGTTAGGCTGTTGTCCTCACATTTTAAGATTCATAAAGTTATTTCCCAGGGGGTAAGACTCAAGAACTGAGGCATCTGGAGTCAGGTATTCTGAGGTCCTGCATGTCCTCATGAATCAGAGCTATACAACCCAATCACCTGCCCTGGGACTAGCAAATCTCTCTAAAACACAATTAAAAGGTGGCATCCTAATGCTTTTCCTCAGCTTAAGAACAATGTGCAAAGCAGGCATCCTGCTCCAAATAAATCAGAAAGTTTTTGCTCTGAGAAAACACAACAAATCTTACCTGTATGACTAGTGATTTGAGCTGGTTAGGCTCTGGTCCTTCCAAAATGCACCCAAAAGCCATCACAGCTGCATCTCTGTATCGCCAATCTGGATTTTTGATGTGTTCTTTAATGAAGGGCAGCACGTGAGGAACAATGTCATCTTCACAGCAAGTCGCCAGGAGCATGAGGCAGACTCCTGCTGCTTTGCAGGGGTTCCAGTCATCGTCATCATCATTTTCATCCTAGGAAAACAGCACCCTTGGTCAGTCTGGGGGGAAAATATCCCTTACTCTGCACAGGCAGTGGCATCCCGTTGGATCCACTGCAGGTGACACTGTCTAATTACCAAGCACTACATCTAGAAATTAATTGAGGTCTGAAGTGCCAGCTACATCTCTGACAGAAAGGCAACCTGAGTTACTTGCATCATTGGTACCTTTCCACCCCGGTGCAAGGCTGCCAGCTCTCTCCTGACACAGCGGCAGCAGCCTCACACATCTCCCAAACTGCTTCTCTGTCATCCAGGTAGAGATTTTGTTCCTTTGATCTGTGCCATCACCTCGCAGAGTGGCCCACAGCCATACCAGTTAAATAGCTTCTTCCTCGCCGCCTGTTAGCTCAGCCACTTACCAAATTTCCTTTGAAGCTGTGTACCTGTGATTCTCTCATCTGTTTTATCTTTCCTGTTTTAACGAGCACTTTAGAACCTCCTGCAATTTAACTCTCTGCATCCGAGCGGACGGAGAAACAAAACAAACAGGGAAACAATTCCCTGGATTTGTCAAGAGTACCAAGCATTTTCCCAGTTCGCTGCAGGAAGCCAAACGAATTTCGTCCTGTATGACTTAATTAACAGTTTTATTTTATAATTAGACCTGCTGTAGCAAGCGGTTCCATTAATTTTGATTAGACTGTGAGGCACAGTCCAAACAAGTCCCTGTGAAGTGCTTAATAGGAACTAAATAAACATGGACCTCACAGCTCAAAAAGTAAAGCTCAAGAATTCCAGAAATTGGATCTCCAAGGATGCAGAGACCGTATAATGGTTTTAATTTCACAAACGCTTCGTTAGGAATACAGATAACTATCAAACCTCTTCAGAAACCATAAATACAAGCATTGTGTTGACAGAATTCAGCATAAAAACGACCCTGCATGCAGTCTCACAGTCTCAGCCCTAAAAACCAATGCATCATTCAGTCAGAGTGGTGCATGATGTCTCATCACAGACCGAGGACTGCAGCTACAGGTGCTCCGGACAAGTACACAACAAAAAGCTACCTGAGGGGACCTACAGCACCCTTGGGACCAAGCACATCAAGAAGTCACCTGTGAAATGAGCATCCCTGGCAGTTTGCTCCTCCCTGCCACAGTGGTGTCACTGTCCTAGAAGCAGACATAGTAGAGATTTTGACATGCAGCTCACCTGTTTTGTTAATGTTTGTGTTAGAATCGGGACCAGATACTGCAACGCTCCCTTGGCGTAAAATTTGCTAGTGTGCTCTGGAGGCCTTCCTTGCTCTGCTGCCTAGAAAAAAAGGTTACAGAATGATTCTCAGTGGCTGTATAGGCATGAGATCTGAATTATGAACTCTGGTAGATGTTAATTGTCTTTCGCATGCTTTCCTCTCCTTCCCAACACAAACTTTAAGTTATCATAACGCACAGGAACCTCAAGGACAGCCTGCAGCACCAGTCCCAGTTAAATATTCAATAAATAAGTCAAATTTTCCATTCCACACACATATAGAGCCCCTCCTCACGTGGCACAGACATAAACATTTTCAGCTTGCAGTTATGTATAATTAAAAAGTGACCCCAAGTAGAAGTAGCAAAAGGTCTTCAGCCTATGAACTAAAGCTACGTGCTGCTGACTGTCCTTTTATCCTTGCTTTTTTGGGCATTCGACATAAATATATATTTAGCTACTTTTAAAGATGGATATGATTCATCTAGAGCTCTTCAAAGTTTAAGCTATTATTGATTTCTACAGCTAATTTATGCAAAGCAGCATCTGCATGCAGAACAATACCCCAAATCCATCTCCAGCTCCATCCATTGTAAGGGATAATGATTACTTTTATTTCATCCCATAATTTTATACTTAACTCATAAATAATGTATAATATAGAATGGGAGCAGTCTTTTTACACACTGGGGTAGGACTAAGTCCCACATGCCTGTAACAGACCCCCAAATCTTCCATATCAGTGTAACAGAAGCCAGATGCCTCCAAGACAGCAAGAAATGCTCTCTCTTTTATGTCTATGTGTATCTCAACAATTAGAGATGCCAAGTCAATGAGGCAAAAGCTAAAAGATCTTCATGATTTTGGGAATCTTCTGGTATTATGCTGTGCCTGGTACACACGCTTAATGCGCATTTAGGTTAACCTTACAGGAGTAGCTTGAGCTGACTTTGGAATGCTAAAAAGAAATCAGGTAGCTGTCACGTAGCATTTGCAGAAAACTAGCACTTGTGTGTCACAGCGTGTTCTCATCAAACCTGTCAGGATCTTTATCTCGAGTAGTTTCAGCTCCCAGCCAGGTTGGCATGAAAATCCTTTTGCTCAGTTAAAAAGGCAGCTCATCCTAATCTAACCTAGTACGCAAAAGGGGCTATAGGCAAGCTACAGTAAGAACTTTATATTAGGCTACAGAGCTTAGAAAATAACCCAGAATTATTACAGGGAATTCCAAATGGCTGTACCTGTGCAATCTTAGCTACAAACTTCGCATTTATCTTGAAAGGCAGAATAAATTAATCATAGTCCTGGGTTAAGACAGCTGCCAGGACCCAGGCTTGCAGCTAAAAACTAAGCTGGGCACAACAAAACACCCACGGAGGCAGCCAGGCAATGCAGCCTCAGGCCTCAGCTTCTGACACAAACACACATCATTTTTTTTATCATCATCCTGTGATAATTTCAGCATTCTCAGTATTCAGATTTGCCACTTTTCAGCAGTCATTGGCAAGCTCACCTCAGACGCCTCTATAGCCAGGTCCATCTCCTCATCGCAGACATTCGACCAGAACTCTATCCCCTGTAGAGCCACCTCGTCTATGTCACTTTTCATTGCTTCAATAGTTATCTTTAGAAACATGAAAGAAAGGAAGGGAGAAAAGGACGCTTCAGTAAGTTACTTCTCCTGAAATATGTGCCCCAACTTTTGGCCAGCAGGTATGAGATTGGTAGGAGATACAAGATGGTCTGAAATAGGATTCCACATTAGAGTCACTGTTCTTGAAGACAATCTGCTCATTTAGAGGTTTTATCAACTCTCAGCACCTCAGGAGGACTGCGGAGCAAGTCAAGCGATCTGCACGGTCCTGACTTTCAGGTCTCAAATACCTGATGCTGGTTTTATGGATTTTGCTAAGAGAGAGGGACTCACAGCAGGCAGTCACAGCCAAAGAAAAACAGATTGGGAATGTAGGAAAACTCTTCCTCTTGGATTAAGATAAAGGAGTACAGGAATATCACACAGCTACACAGAAGAAACCTGAGTACTCACAGCAAAAAGCGCAGGACCCATGTATGTCTCCATATACTGATAATAAAGGGACATTATCTTCACCAAATTCTGTAAGGCAGCCACTCGTACCTGTCAGAGGAAAATGGATCAAAGATGTGACCTTTCTGAGTGCTCTGAAAATCTGTACCCCACCACAGCCCAACAACCAGACTCTCTGCTCATTTAGTTTACTCCATATCTAAAAAGGTCTTTCGCAAACAACATAAATCCTCTTAGTAGTTTACTACTTCTAACTTAAGATACAAACCTCATTTTATTTGAGTACATACACCATTTAACAAAGTACTGTTTATTTCACAAACACTTTTTAACCACTTTTTGACACTAGGGGTTCTAGCCAGCTTCCCCCAAAAGGTGCAGTAACAAATCAGGGCATTCATTTTCACCCATCAGTTTTACTCACCCTTGTATCTGGACACTGCGTTGCTTCACAGACTACTTGCATAATAAAGTGCCTTTCAGACTAGAAGAAGAAATAAAAGAATATTAGAACTGTATTACAAGAGCATTAAAGCTTCAAGAAACCTCAAAACTCAGGACATCAGTTTCTGGAGGGGCAGTACCTGCGTATTCTTGCCTTTCAGTAGGAAAGAACAGACATGCCCAGGCTATTTTCAGTAATGAAGCCCAACAGAAATATGGTCTGAATGGATCCCACACCTCCCATATCAGATTCTGAAAGGCTCCAGTTAATCCCCCTCAACATCCACTGAACAGTTGACATGGGGAAGTTTCCATTATAAGACTTTCTAAGGTTCAATATTAATTCCATGTTTCCCATACTCTCCCTGGTAGAGACCCAGAGGATAAACTTAATCTGAGAAGGAAGAGAAAAATCAATATATTTCTGTTTTGAAAAGGCTTTGGTGCTGAGGCTCCTATTCTGAAGACTCTTACAGGCCTTCCTCCCCCACCAATTTTCAGAGGCAAAGTTAAATCTGGATTGCTGCCACAACACTTGAAAGAAAGTGCTGATCCAAGCTTGTACTCTTACAGCAGCATTAGAGAGTAGGGTTTGATTAGGAAGCAGAGCATCTAATAGGCTAAAATCTAAGGTCAGTTCAAATTTATCCCCAAAAAGTCAGCGATGCTTCCTTTCCACTGACGAATCTCTGAAGATTTCCACAGCACTTGTGCATTACGACAAGAACAAACCGGATTTACAGAAATGAATCCAAGTCTCAGCTGCAACAGAATTATGCATCAAAATTCAGCGTGGTGCATGATTTCTCATCATAGACCGTGGATTCAGCCCTTGCATTTAAAGCCACGAATCGTCACCGTTTCCCCCTCACCTCTTTGTCAAAGTTTGCTTTGGTGAATTCCAAAGAGTTCAGGAGTGCATTAGTAGCTGCAAGCTTCACATTGTTGCTGGGCTCTTCCTTTCGCATTCCCTGGATGATGGCTGTCAAGATCTCATTGGATTTGTCCTGAAGTTGCTCTGGATCCTAAAAGAAGC